TTTTTTTTTCTCTGCGCTGTTAATAATAACAAAAAGTTATCTTCTTGCAGGAATGTTATTCATGGCTAAGCAAGACCATTCGTAAAAGACCAATATACAATCCCAACAATTCCCAGATCTTTTTTCAACAGCACAACTCCCCCCACCTTTTTTGGTTACTAAAATTCCATCATGTCTCACTATTTTAGCTCTGAATTATCAGGAAAAACAGTCTTAGAACTACGACCTCATCCAACTCAATGGCTGTTTTTTTGATCGCATAAAATGCCACGCTCATTGTGTCGCCCTCGTCCAGTACTGGAAGTACGCAGACGTGAAAAGCAGTACCTTTAAGTGTAAATGCTGAGACGAATTTAGACTCGCAACAATTTTGAGTATCCCACGTTCGCTGCAATCGCACGAGCCAAGATCGAGCACTTCCAGAAGGCGCAATTCAGGCAGCACCTTAAACTGACACTTCGTTTAAAAAAAGGACCTACGCGAAAAAATAGAAAAAACAATTCTAACAACTGCTAGAGCATCTCATCGTGATCTAGGAGGGTAATGCTCGAGACGTGATCAATTCACAAAAGCGAAATTTCGAAATCGCTAAGGCCTTGCTAAGTGCATCTTTTGGGACAACTATTCACCAGACGAAGCAACATTATGCAACTGGAAAAGTTCAACTGGAAAAGTTCCCAAATACATGGAATACAAGTTCCCAAATACAACTGAAAAGTCAAAGCAACTGGGAAAGTTCCCAAACACATAGATGGAGAAATAGGCTACAAATTGCAAGTCATTAAAGGCTGAGACAAAAAAAAGAGTGGAAAAGCAATGATGCCACGTCAAACTACTCTTACTTTCCACTTAGAACAAGTCCAGGATGGGCACCCCAATTTTGCGCCCAGGCAACAGCAAAACTGTCTCTATGGATGGTGGAAAGAAAGCAAATCATTGGCGAGGCGTACCAGGTGGGCCTGTGCAAGCATACGTTTTTGCAGTATTTCGTGCTGTAATGAGATCGCTCGAAAACCTGGTAGCTAGGATTTGCGACGTACTGGTTCTTGAAGTTCGGGAAGTTAATTGTCGACAAAGTACTTGGGCAGGGAAAATCCCGCTAAAATTTCAGCTTTCCAACTTCTCCCGTTTTAGAATTAGCAATTTTCCTGGAAAAAAAATTTCATAGGTTCGTACATGACAACCACACGTACCTAGGAGCTGAATTTGATATCTTTATTTTTACGGGGGCTGAGGACACATCCTTAAAATTTCAGCTCCCAATTTTCCAACTTCCCGAGTTAATCATTTTTCCGCCAAAAAATTTTACGGGGCCGTACGAAAGAACCACGAATGCCTGAAGACTGAATATGATAAATTTTTAAATTTTTTTTTTTTGATAAATTTTTGTTGTACATGAGCCAGGAACATTCTCTGAAAATTTCAGCCTCCCAGTCCCCCTGCTTCCCGAGTTAGCCACTTTCCCGCCAAAAAATTTCATGGGGCCTTATGCAATAACAACGTAAGTCTGGGACTGAATCCAACAATTTTTAGTTGTATATGTGCTGGGAACATTCCCTGAAAACTTCAGCCTCCCGACATTCCTGGTTTCCAAGTTAGCGGTTTTCGCGCCAGGAGCTCTCACGGAGCCGGATGCGAGTACCACTCACACCAGGGGGCTGAATTTGATATCTCCGAGCTCTATGTGGACTGCGAACACAATCTCAAAACTTCAGCTTTTTAGCTTTTCTGACTCCTGAGCTAACGACTTCCCCGCCAGAACTTTCATCCCCTCGTACGCGGGATCCAGACTTGCGTGAAGGTTGGTACCGCGGTCCTGGCGTAGCACTTGGCTGGGGAAACCACCAGCAAAATTTTGGCGCCGGAGCTTGCTTGAGCGCCGAGTTGAAATACCCGGACTGACTGACAAACACACACACACAAACCCACACCGGGGTCATCGTAATATGCGTTTTCACATTTCCATATATGCAAAAACGCGTAAAAATTAAATTAAAAAGGTGCAAGGATCAAAGGCTGGATTGTTCCAAACCGCAAACAAGCGATAAGTTCAGCCACGTGAGAGCACGAAAGAAAGCACAGGCATAATGCCCTTTTTTAAGTCGCAACGATAATTTTCATGACAAAAACTCAAGTTAAAACGCACCAGGTGAGTCGGTGCGATCATGTGTTTTTGCGCTATTTCGCACTGTAGCAAAATTGCAAGGATTCATGATAGCTAGAATTTGTGACACGCCGGCCCTCGAAGTTCAGGAATTTAGCTGTGTAGCTACACAGCATGTCTGTTGTGGATGTCCGCTTCTGTGACACGAGAAATGGAAGGTTGTTGGTGCGTGAAAAAGACCCTACTGCCGGAGTTGAATTCGAAATCGTTTAGTCGCACAAAAAGTATGGAACATTCCCTCAAAATTCCAGCCTTCCATCTTTTCTTATTCCTAAGTTAGCAATTCTCCTGCCAAAACTTTCACGTGCCCGTACTTGAATCCTGGACAGACTTAAGCAGCTGAATTTTATATCTTTTAGTCATACACGGGCAGGGAACACTGCCCCAAAATTCCAGCTTTCTAGCTTTTCTCGTTTTCGAGTTAGCAATTTCCCCGCCAAAACCTTCATGTGTCCGCAGCTGAGACGGGGGTGTGCGTGACAGCTGACATCACGTTCTCTGGATCGCACTTGGCCGGGTACTATGCAGGAAAAATTTCAACACCAAAGTTTGTGTGCTTGGGAAGTAAAAATACCCGAAAGGACGAACATAAACGCAAATATACACACTCAAACACATACTGAGTAGTCGCAATATGCGTTTTGCTGCCTGTTGCAGCGCTGTAGTGCTACATGGCAAAAAAGTATAACGACTATTACTTGTTATTTTCAACATAAACGAAATGACATGTACCTCAGCCAGTAGATTGGCACCATCCAGCTTCAGACTGTTTCTACTAAGATTAAGGATTTTCAAGTTCCGGTTTGATTTGAAAGCTTTGACCAAATCCTTCATTCCGTTTTCATCGATGCCACTGCATCTCAGATTCAAATGCTCCAATTTTTCCAAAAGCTAAAATTTTAAACTAAAAAAAACAAAAATTAAAAGCTGCAAAGTCGGCTGTTAGAAAATCACAGACTTAATTCTTCCTACTGAGGGAAATACACCGAAAACTGGCAAAGCATGGTGGAAAACAGTGCTACCTTTTGCTTTGAGCGTAAAATCAATGTTTCAGCAATTGCTCTGCAAGCTCCAGGACCGATATAGTTCTCTGAGAGATCGAGCACTTTCAGGCATCTCATCGACATCACTGTATTGATGATATGTTTAACTGTAAAGGTGACCAATTCGGTTCCAGTTGAATAATGCCATTTATTGCATTATAGTAGTTTCAAAATTTAGTTTTCCTCTCTGCCGATGTTCAACGAGGAATAGTGTCGAGTAAAGAACGGTAATTTACGTTAACAATCTGTAATTGTAAGGAAACAAACAGACCACTAATTCTTTCGATTTTT